CAGCCCAGACTCTGAGCAGGTCCTGCTGAGGCCTGTGGGAGGGAAGGGAAGGGAAGATTTGGCCCTTTGCAGCCCACAGCAAGCTAAAGCTGAGGTCCCGAGGCATCATCTGGATTTCTGTGTGGGTTTGGAAGCACCGTTACCGCTTGAAGCAAGCAGTTGGCTGCTGTGCTCCAAAAGGGGTCTGGCAGCGATGTTCCCTCTCACATGTCTGGCTATTGGCTTTAGGTGCAATACGCTTTACAAACAGACTGGAACATCGTTACTTTCTAAATGAGACAGAGGTTTTTTTTCAAAGCGCTTTTCTGTTGAGGCATTACATTTTCATCTGTGCAGGGACAAGGAGCCACCTAAGGAGCGTGAACGGTGATGGTGGAGCTGAAGAAGAGCATGTCTTTGCTTAAAGCTAAGCTTAAAGGCAGAAAAGGTCCAGTGGAGACATGCAGGTCCAACCTTGCAACCCCCAGGCTTGCCTCTCCCAGCAGCACCCATTGCACCCCCAGCACAGCTGAGCGCCCGCTCCAGCCGTGAGCCCTCGCGTCAGGGCTCTTGACGCCACAGCGAGCAAAGCTACCACCCATCAGCAATGAATCACATCCCGGAGAGGGGGTGGGTTGTGTTTGTGCTGGCAAAACTGGCTGCGAGTGGCGGCAGGCCCAGACAGCACGAGAGGCCGAATCTGGAAGGGCCCCTTTGCCGAGGCAGAGATCAATGGGAGGTTTAACATCGCAGGGTGACGGTTCCTGCCAAGAGCCCTTCCACAATAAAACCAGCAAATCAATCCGCCATCCGCTGAGTAACTCCAGATGAGGATTGCTCGTTTTGCCTAATAAATACAATCGACAGTTTGCTGTTCTTTTAACAGTGGTTTAAGAGAAAAAAAACACAAACCAACAATTATACTTTCCTGTGCATCAGAGAATCCCATTTCCCTCCTCAATTAGAAGGGGTCACATCAAACAGTAGGTCAGCAGTTGGCGCAGCAGAGAAGGGCAAGGACATCCCATAGGGAAGAGTAAGAAAATGGGCAAAGAAATGATCATTTACAAAAACCAGCAACAGTTAAGCCAGTTCTAGATCAAGAGCTCTAACCAGGGCCCTGGGCATCCTAGGAGGGCTTTTCAGGACTGTGGTGTAGTGTTGAAGGAACATCCATGGAGCACAGGGTGGTCAGAGACTGCATGTCCCCACGGCTGGGAGCAGATCTGGGATGTTGCTTTTTGCCATCAGGGCTCAGGTCTGTCCCTCTGAGATCCAGAGAAAGCTCATCCCAGCTCCTCATCAACACCTTGATCAGAATGGGGATTTTGGGGCAGTAGCAGGGTTTATTCCAAGGCCTGAACTCCTTTGGGAAGATCTTTATCACATCAGAATCTGACATGGATGAGACAAGATAAGCTGTAAACTTGGTGATCATCATAGATTTTTTTGTAAAAATGAAGCAAAAGGATTATTTTATTTCTTATATAAAAGAAAAAATACACAATGCTTTATGAACGAGGTAGAGCAGAAAAACGATGCCCAGGGACTTTCAAAGACCCTGATTCACAGCTGCCATTAGCTGCTGGTTCTCTGGAGTACCCAGTCAGATCCTTTGAGGTCAGTGGAGCTAAAATAATTTAAACAGCCCTCAATGAAACCCAGGAGATACGGAGTGCATCAGGTAGAGCTTGACTGTCCATGCTGGGACAACCAGAGTCCCTGCTGTCCCCAAGCCAGCCCGGGGCAGCCTACATAGTGGTGTCTCCTCCTGGATGTGTCCCTCAGGTTGGGTAACAGCATGTCTGGGGTGTCCTGGCAGGGACGAGACGGCTGTTGAGGGTTATTCAGAGTCCTCACTGCCTCCTCTGACCTCAGGAGCTGCCTGCCTGCATTCACGGGGAGATTTATGGTGCTGTTTTCCTCTCTCTCCTGGTTGTGTTCAAGTGGCCAAGGGACTGATCCTTCACAGCGCTGAGCACTCCCTGTTCCTGAAGTGATGCAAGTGGAAGGGACACAGCATCTGTCTGGTTTCCATTGGATTAGGCCAGGATTTGATTCCCTAAGAGACTTCCTATGCAAAAGTTTTGCTGAAAGCATGATTTCTCAGTTAACACAGGTTGCCTGTGCCTCATTTATATCATTAGTACAGTGACCCAACAAAACCATCATTGTCATTAAGGATAATTACTTTGCCCTTTTTCCCAAGCTCCTATGGGATGTCCCTGCCCCTCTCTGCTGTGCCAAGCCCTGGCTCAATGTTTGGTTTGACAATACATCAAATCCAGCCATTCCAATGGCCTCTCCTTGAATGACCCCACTGACCTGCAATAGGGACACAACGAAATCAGTGGAGTTGCATGTCCCGGGCAACTGCTCCTTCAGCTGGGCTCATTAACCTGTCACCTCTTGAGCTCCACCATCCTGCACTGAACGTGATACCTGAGTACCAAAGACAGAAAGATTTTCCTATCCCTGGAGAATATCCCTCTGGATGGAGGAGGACATCGCAAAGCAGAAGACTGCTCTGTCTGTCTAGTGTGCACCAGTGTCTGATTCTTCAGAGCCCCACTCTGCTCCCCTGCAGCTGAAACCTGTCTCTGGGCAAGGGATCCTTGGTCTGGGAGGGGAAAAAAAAAGAAGATAGTGTTATTCCTTCCTCCTTGGAAGGGAGTCCCACCTATGGTGTGCCCACACTGGTGGGTCTCTCACTCAGTATGGCCAAAGTGTGCAAGGAGATGGCACTGTGGCACCAGGAGAGGGGACGGAGGCTGCAACAGCACTGTGGACCCACCAGCTCCCCAACTCTGGCCCAACAGGTAGGGAGGTAAAACAGCCCCAAAAGACCCTGAGGATGGCGGGTAAAAATGACTTATTCATGGCTTCACGGTGGCAACCCCATGGACCAAGAGTAAATTCCCTGCACGTGCAGTGGCTGTTGGGGTCATCACAGGGGCTCCTCCAGCACCCGGGATACCTGCACTCTTTGAGTCCCACATCCAGCTGGTTTCAAACCTTGTCTCTATTCAGTTTTACAATATAAAGTGTCTTTGTTTAGTCAACAGAACCACTAATACATGTGATTTTGTTGTTAATAGAGCTGTAAGAATTTTAAGTACCTCTTGGGAATCTGTCATTTTTGGTTGGCTTTTTTAGGCATCACAGGGTGCTGCGTTTGCCTTTGTAAACAAGTATTGAATAAAACATTTTGCACACAGCCGCACTTTGTACAAGTGTCATGCAGGTTTCTAAAGTTTCAGAGAGAATAAATCAACTGCAAACTGCTGCCTGGCAGTTGACTTCACTCCTTATAAATAGCTAATTTGGACAACTTCTCTCTGCACGTCATATGAAATTCAAATACCATTCATATCGTTAATGCGGGCACACAAATCAAAACTGCTAGAGCCGCTTTTATAAGCCTGGGTTGCCACAGAAATGCCACAGCCGAGGGCAGATTGGCTCCAGGTTGCTCTCCCTTCCTTTAGGATGTGATCCTCAGGGAAAACCAGCAGGTCACTATGCTCTGCTGCCTTGTCCCAGGGGAGGAACAGGAGCCCCATGGCCTGGGGCGTTGGCTGCATGGTGGCCCAGTTCACTGCTGGTTATACTGGTTGGCAGTAATCATCACTCAGAGGAGAATTAGGCCCCAAATAAAAAGAACAACCCTGGTTTAATAAACCCAACGGAAAATGTTATGAAAATAAAGGTTGATTGCACCTGGGTCTGTCAGCTGTGCAGCACTCGGTGCCGGGCACGGGACAGATGCACGACCTTCCCTCCGCCCAAAGCACAGTCCTGCTGGTCCGGCCGTGCTGAACCCCACGTGAGATGCAAACTTACCTGGTCCTCCCAGGAGGCTCTTAGCACCGCGCAGGATCCATCCAAGCTGTCCCAGAACTCAGCCCAAGGGCTCTAATCCTGGAAGGTGCTGAGCAACTCTTGACTTCTGCCGCTTGTCTCTGGACTTTGGCACGTGTTCAGCATGAGCAGGATCAGCTCCTTGCTGTAATAATCAGGGAACGAGGAACTCAGCTTGACTGAATTTCCCCCCCGCCCCCCAATGCAAAAATGCTGTACATTCCTTTATGCAGGTTTCCATAGAGTTGAACTTCTACTATTTTTTTGTTGTCGCTGTTAAAGGGGTCAGCGACGCACTGTACAATGGGATCTGGCTGTCAGGAAATGGGGAGGAATTCAGGGACACTTTTAACATCTTGCTGGTGGGGCTGGAGGGCGGCATTAAAACCAGCATCCTGCAAATCTCCCCACCAAAGAGAAGAAAAAAGCCTGGAGAAACCCTGGGGAGAAGTTCTGAAGACATACTGCTTTGTCCATCCTAAGTTTAAATAAGTTATTTCTTCCCTGCTTCCTTTGTTAAAATATGATATTCCAGCTTTAATTGCTTCAATCCTATTACTTGTTCCTTTTAGCAAGTGATTGTGTAGCCCCTCGCTGCAGGGAAATCCCCTGAGCGCGGGTCCGTGTTACTGAGACAAGTCCTCTTTCAGAAGTAAATGCCATTCTTAGCATAGGGAAGTACTTTAGGTCTAAAGGGGTTAAGAAGGCCTCCCTGCATTCAGAAACATGCAGGGGTCCCACCGTGCCAGTTCCAGCCTTTTAAACTCTTTCCAGCTTTTTTTTCTTGCAACAAATCTGTCTGACTGCCACCAGGACATAGGAAGCGTGTGCCTGTCAAAGAAATCAAGTTTACTTTTTCTGACTTGTTAACAGAGGCAGGGTATAAATAGAGCTAACTCTGCTCAGACTATTGGCATTTCTCTTAAAATAAGGGGGTAACTTCCTAGGATTTTTAATCCAATGAGGTCCAGACCAAACTGCACTATCAACAGAGGTAGCAAAGGAGCTTGCTGAAGTTTTTACAGAAGTCAGGTGCATCTGGGTTCCTCAAAAATTTAAGGCTTATCAAAAAAAAAAAAAAAAAAAAAAAAAAAAAAAAAAAGCCACCCCAAGCAAACAAGAACTACCTCCAGATCAGTCACTGCCATTGCCCTGGAGAACTTCTGAGATGTTGTTGGTGCTGTTCGCTCGGTGGATGTGGATCTTGCTGGGGAAGAGCAGTGTCCTCTTGCTTCTGGAGGTCTCTCTGAAAGGGAGAGCTCTACCTCCAATCCGCTATTCCCACGCTGGGATATGCCCCAATGACATGAACCCCAACCTGTGGGTAGACGCGCAGAGCACTTGCAAGAGAGAGTGCGAAGCTGACCTGGTGAGTGATGCACGTTTCTATCTCTCTGCGTCGCGGGCGATGGGCTTTGTCGGTGGGCTCGTTTGCACCCCAGTCGGCGTCTGTGCCAGACAGAAAGGTGCTGGCAGGGTGCGGGACCTGATGCAGACAGCACACGTATTTAATTGACCCGTGACCTATATAAAATAGAGAAGGTTTGATGAGTTATTGGTTAAGCGGGGAGGTGTGTGGCAGGTGTCATTTATGCCGATGCAGGTACAGCATTTGCTCTCTTTGATCATTTTCTTTACTTTCTTGTCAAAAGAAACATCTGAATTTGATACTCCAGAGCTCAGCGTGCCTTGGGGCTGATCCATAGTGTTTTAGCAGCGTCACCATGCTCTTTGTTGGTGGTGGACATCATCAATGCTTTATACTCCTGGGAGGAATCATATATTAAATCATTTGATTTAACATGCGAAGCGTCAGCCTTTGCTGCACTTGAAGCACAAAGCGTGCTTGGAGTGCAAAACAGGGGCATGGTTAAAATGACCAAGCAGATGTTCTCTGTGATGCTCCCAGTTCAAAATGTGCTTAACTTACAACCCTAAAATTCATTTTTCAACCTGTCAGCACTGCCAGCTCAAGCTGGCATCTGAAAATACCTGCTCATCCTGCCTCTTACATCATGTCCAACAGCAAAGCTCCTGCAGCCCAAACCAGGCTGACAGCAGCGTGTACCGTGCTGAAAAAAGTCATTGGGTTTCTGTTCTGTCGGCAGGTTGTTTCTGCAGTGCTGAAAGGAGTGGGGTGGGGGGGTGAGGGGGGGAATAGAGAAGGTGGCTGGCCATCAAGTAAACAAAGGGATTTGCTCAGATGGATCCCATGTGTTATGAATGAAGGTGCTGCTTTTACTTTTGCCATTCCCAAACAAGCCCCCTTTATTTCAACTACCAGCTGCAGCAGTGAATATTAAACCACTTGCCAAACCCCAGCAGCAGCAGCAGAGGACATTGTTTTCATAATTTACTAGCCAAAAACTGAAAGGCAGAAGCCACTGGCTGAAAAATCTTCACTTTTGCCTTGTGGTAGCACAGAGTCCTGGGACCTGGCATGGAGCAAAGAGCTGAGGACTCTGCCACCAACTTTGCTAAAGCCACGCTCCTTAACCTCAGCCAAAAACCTTACCCCTTCTGTTTTCTAACTTTGCTTCTGAAACCTAGTAATGTGCCACTGGAAATGGGGAAAGGGTTATGTTATTAGGTCATCTTTTTCCCAATAAGGAAAGGACACTGGACTCAGGGGAAACTATTTAATTTGGTAACTTAAAAACCATTTTGTTCTCACTTATGGAGAAACCCGCTGGATTTCAGGGGGGTTGAAGAGGTTTAAGACATGGTGGAAGTGTGTCCCGTTGAGTACATGGTAGTGGTGTTCATGGTCCCTTAAAGTAATCTGGAACAACACAGCAGCTGTGATCACACATATCAAATACCTTTTCTGCACAGAAGATGAAAATTCTGCTAAAATTAACCGCAATTTAGAGCTGACTGGAGCTGAGATGGAGTGTAATAAATCACTGGAAGAGCGAAGCTGCATTTGAAAATAGGACTAAAATAGGACAGAGAAGCCATAATGAGCTGTTTTGGGTTTGTTTTTCTAAATACCATAGAAAAATTATTTTTGGAGCAAGAATTTCTTTACTTTTGAAATATTCTATTATTTCCTCTACAATGTGAACAATTACAAATCCTTGGCAGTTTCACCTCCAAGAGCAGGCTGTTAGGCTCAGGGAATTCAAATAATACTTTACATACTTCTGTGGAAAATAAGAAGGATTACTGCCTACAGCCATATGATAAGACTTTCCATCCGCTTTTGTTTCTCAGGGTTTGCCCTCAGGCATTTCGGAGAGTGCAGAAGGGGGGTTGTTGGTTTGGTAGTCAAGAAGTCCATGTGACTCTAGGAAAGACTTATGATGAGGTTTAGTGTTTAAGAAACAGAAATATATTTTCCTTCTTGAGAGTCTTCTCTTGAAGCACTTCAGAAACTCCAGTGTGTTTAGACACCTCTTGGGAGATGCTGGAGGGATTTTTCTGCTCACTGCCAGTGGATACAGTGAGCTTCAGGCCACAGATACCTGTGGCAGCCCAGGTGCCCTGAAAGATTCTGGACTCTCAGCTTTCTAGGTCTCTGAAAGGAACTTTGCTCTCTTCCGAGTAATGATCGAGTCATTTTCTTTCCCTGCAGGAGTGTGAGACCTTTGAGAAGTGCTGCCCCAATGTCTGTGGAACTAAGAGTTGCGTGGCAGCTCGGTACATGGACGTCAAGGGGAAAAAAGGGCCGGTGGGAATGCCCAAAGAGGCAACCTGTGACCGTTTCATGTGCATCCAGCAAGGCTCAGAGTGCGACATCTGGGATGGACAACCCGTCTGCAAGTGCAAGGACAGGTGTGAGAAGGAACCAAGCTTCACCTGTGCCTCTGATGGGCTCACCTACTACAACAAGTGCTATATGGATGCAGAAGCTTGCATCAAAGGCATTACCCTGAATGTAGTCACCTGTAGGTACCATCTTACCTGGCCAAACACCAGCCCTATCCCACTAGAAACAACAGCTCGCCCTACTACTGCCTATTCTGAGACAACGGTCACTGATATCTTGCCGCCTGCTCTAGTGAACAACCCTGTCCATCAGTCAGTCTACCTGGGAGAGACTGTCAGCTTCCTCTGTGATGTTACAGGGAGACCCAAGCCAGAAATCACGTGGGAGAAGCAGGTCGATGGGAAAGACAAAGTCATCATGAAGCCAAATCACGTCAGAGGGAATGTCGTGGTCACCAACATCGCCCAACTGGTCATCTACAACACCCAGCTCCAAGATGCAGGCATTTACACCTGCACAGCAAAAAACAGCGGTGGCCTTCTCAGGGCTGATTTCCCTTTGTCAGTCATCAAAGGAGAACCCACATCCAAAGAAACTTCCCACAACAAAACACATTTTCCAACTGATGAGTGCCTGAAGCAACCAGACAGCGAAGACTGTGGGGAAGAGCAGACCAGGTGGTACTATGATGCAAAGAAAAACAACTGCTTTACTTTCATCTATGGGAACTGTAACAGCAACCTCAACCACTTTGAGACCTACGAGAACTGTATGTTAACGTGCATGAATGGCCCCATCAACATTTGCAATCTGCCAGCCCTCCAAGGTCACTGCAAAGCCTATGAGCCCAGATGGGCCTACAACAGCTTGACAAAGCAGTGCCAGTCCTTCATTTATGGTGGGTGTGGAGGTAACGAGAACAACTTTGAGAGCCGGGAGGCCTGTGAAGAGATGTGCCCTTTCCCGAAGAACACACACTGCAAAGCTTGCAAACCACGCCAGAAGCTGGTGACAAGCTTCTGCAAAAGCGACTTTGTTATCCTGGGCCGGATAACAGAGCTGACCGAAGACCAAGACTCGGGACATGCCCTGGTGACAGTGGAGGAGATTCTCAAAGATGAAAAAATGGGATTAAAATTCCTGGGGAAAGAACCACTAGAAATCACGCTTTTGAACATGGACTGGAGCTGCCCATGTCCTAACATGACCACAGTGGATGGCCAGCTCATCATCATGGGAGATGTCCACAACGGCATGGCTGTCCTACAGCCAGACAGCTTTGTGGGGACCTCCAGCATCCGGCGCGTGCGGAAACTCCGTGAAGTCATCCACAAGAAAACCTGTGAGCTTTTGAAAGAGTTCCTAGGATTGCATTAACCTCCTGCACACGTGTCAGCCTTCCAGACCCGTGTGCTACGTAGGGCTAACAAGCGCTAGGCTAGTGCGCAAACTAAACGAGCTCTTTGCAGATACACCGTAGGAATTATGCAGAACCCTTATTTTAATCCATTAATGATGCTTAGCAACAATGTAGTGTGGTCTTTGGCAAGCACATAAAACAGCAGCAAAAGGCTATTAATCTTGCATTGAAATCAATTTGTCCATATAGGAGTGCCATTTAACTAGATGACTCACTGCAGTAATTATACAATTTTTATGTAGCTTCCATCATAAATGACGGAACTCATAGCATTTGTTTAGCTAATTGGTACACAGCTCAGTAATATATAATGTCAATTTTATCTGTCTCATTTACAGTATGGAAATGCTATGGTAAGTCATTATAAATAAGTCACACTCTTGTTTCCTTATAGCAGCACTAACATTTCAAGAGAAAAGCCTGTAAATTATTGTCGATATTTACAATTGTGCACATTTAACCAATCTATGCATTATGAACTTGCTTCTTTTAATTGGAATTTTCCTGGCAGTTTTCTTTGGAATGTACCTCATTTTTAAATGGCAACTACTACCTACCTTGCAATAAACAGGAGAAAAAAAAAATTCCCTTGATCCTATGCCCAGGACAACAGGTCCCTGTAGAAGCTCAAGGCACAGTCTCACCTCAAAATGCCTTTTCTGTCATCAGAACAGGGTCAGCAAACACCCTCATTCCATTGCACTTTCCTGTTTTTGTTTTAATCAATATATTGTCCATCACAAAAAGTCCAAGGCAGAAGGATGCCAGTGTGCTGCCAGTTGTCTTTCTTTTGAAAATCCTTCACATCTGAGCATATGCAGCAATTTATTGCTTATTTTCATTAGAAATCCTGTTTTTATAGGTGAGAGAGTAAAGTAAGAGGAGTCAGAACAAAATTCAAATAGAAAAGTGCAATACACAGTCTGCAGACTGTTATACACCAATATGAAGCTGCTGAAACGGAACTGCACAGACATGGATGCACAGAGCGGACACTCTTTAAAGGCATTTCTCAATTTGACGCGTTTAGAACACTTTCAAACGACAGAAAACATTTTCCACCAGGCCACTGTATATACGTGTATGAATAAATTCCCTCAGAAAGGCCAGTGGCATCCTGGGGTGCATTAGAAGGGGTGTGGTTAGTTGGTCAAGAGAGGTTCTCCTCCCCCTCTACTCTGCCCTGGTGAGGCCACATCTGGACTATTGTGTCCAGTTCTGGGCCCCACAGTTCAGGAAGGACAGGGAACTGCT